TACAGTACATTTACAATTGCGAGTTATTTTGAGATGGTCTCCTGGAATTTTTAGCTATGATTACCTTGTTCTATGATGTCGTAGTGACATAGTTCATGAGAACCAAGATGGTCCCAGAAAAGGAGGTGATGACTTTGGTCATCTGCTTTCTGTTCTGGAGTCTATAGGCTTTTTGATATTTCACTCTGGAGCTCAGGAGGTCACCTTTCCCTTCAGATAGCATCACCATCCTGTTGAATAATGCTATTTTGGGGAAATTCAGAGTATCTTTCCACATAATCATGAAATAACAGCAATACTAAAACAATATTTGGGAAAATAAATAAGTGAGAAAAAAGTAGCTGATAATAAAAATCAATTTGAAACCAATAACAGCTACAGCTAAAACACGACATTAATGCATAATTTCATAAGTAATAATTTAAAACTCAAACTCACAATTTAATAATTGTGCAATAATTTAAAACTAATAATTTAAAACATGCTTCACCTAGAATTTCAATCGTAAATAATGAGAGCTGTGTTTAAAAAACAGGAATCAATCAAACATTTCAGGAAATTCAGTTGTTAATGAACTTCATGTGTCTCGAGTCCACCACAATAGCCAGAACCGGTGCTCCGATCCCAAACCACATTTCTTTCCAGAAAACTGCCAATCAAGGAGCGAATATAAATATATGTACTTCAATATACTTTTTCCTACCGCATGCAAATGTGAAAGCGTGTCTTCTTTGTGAGTGTGTGTGTGTGTTTGCTTTTGTTTTTTTGCATATGAGAACCTTTTTTATATTACCAAGGAGATTTTACCAAAAAGTACAGTATTCAAATTGAAATAAGTCTCAGGTAAAGTTATAGGATAACAGGCTTCTATAAACATTTGAAGGTTTTTCAGTGGTTCATAGGAGAAGCTACCGGAGATCCACAAATGGCAAGCACTCTCTTTGCTCAGTGGTCTTCTCCAAGCTCGCCTGCACACGACTTCACCTTCTCAAGGGCTGTGCACACAGAGGCTGGAGGATGGCCAAGACCGTGGGCTTCAGGGTCCAGCCTGGAGGCGTTAAATGGATTAGATCTAGAGCAGGTTCCCCTCTCACACAAGTGCTGTGTTTGGAAGATAAAATTGGACCAAGTACTTGAGAGTTAAGTAGAAGGCTCTTAGAACACTTATATTTTGTTAGACGTTCAAGATATATGGAATTTAATCCTTCAACAATACAGAGACTGGGTAAATACTGCAGAAGTAGGGAGTAGTCATTTTCATCAGCCTGATGTTTACAGCCTGTTTTCACTGGATCATTTAGTTCAAGGCGTCTTTGCTATTTATATGACTTCAGAAGAAATCACAGAAAAACAGAAAGAAATGGAATTGCTAAATAAATTCAATACAATTACAACTCCTACTAGATAATGTTTTGAAACAAATAACTTGATTTAATCTTTTTTAAAGGTTCTGTGGCATAAAGAATGTAGAGAAACAGCATTTGCTGCACTAATTTCCTGCAAGCTGGTGGCTTCAAGATAAGAAAGCATATCTTCTCTCTATTTTTAAAGGCATTAGTCTTTAGCAGTATTAAGACTGATTCCTATGAAGTGTTTTAGATCCAGATTAAAATGGAAATATCTCTTCATTAGAGGAATATCTTTGTGGATCTAAAGATAAATCTTAAAAAGTCTTTTGAGATATTTTTGATAAACCACAGGAAAATCCTTTCCTGAAACAGACATGAGGTTAACAGCGGAGTTTTATTTTTGTGCTTCAGACGTCCACTGTTACATGTCAATGAACTTATTTCACCGTGTTGGAAAGCAATATTGAAATGTTTAGGAGACAGTGATAGGACTTCACCCCAAAGCGAGCAAAACTTAGTCAAAATGAATCCTGTTTGATGTGTGGAGAGGAACAGGAGAGCAGGACTGTCTCTGTTGCTTGTGATTAGACAGAGTTCCACACCAAACTGGAAGAGAAATTTTGGGTTTCTGATCTTTTTCTAGTTCTTTAAAGATATTAATCAATAGCACTTTCACTGTTTCCTCCAGGAATAAATGTCTATGGCTCCGTCCATAACTGGAAATGAATTATTAAATCATGTGAGCAGCTTTGCAGGAAAAAGGTTCTCTTCAGTAGAATGAAGATTGGAAAATCGGACGATCTAAATATCTTTCAACTTTCTGATAGGGACAAGGAATACACTTCATAAAATGAAATTGGGTTCACCTGGAGGGTCTGGGCATTTAGGAATCAAGTGTAGAATTTTTTTCTAAATACTAAGTGTTGTGATGCCATTGAAGACTTCATTGAACTTTTGAAAAAAAAATAGAAGGCATCATAAGAAAGAGGGACCACTAATATTGGAAAGAATATCCTATCAGAGATGACTTGGCTTAACTTATCTGTATGACATGATGTGGTTTTAAAAAAATCAACATTAAATGATAGAAAAAGCTATAAAACAAGTATTTCTCTAAAAACTCCAACCCAACTAAAGTTTGATAGTTATTTTTGTTGGTACCTCTTTGTTTTCTTTTTTTTCCTCTAATACTTTTGTCCTCTAATTACTTTATCAGCATAGGTATACATCTCCATCAGGGAATATCTTTTATAACAAAACCCTTCTGTGTAACCCAGAAACAATGTGTTATCAGAATGGAAAAGTCTTGGACACACTAGACCATTTCTTTGTCCAGGCCTTAATTGCCCCCAGAAGATGTGTGTGTTTCAAAGCTAAGTTTAGAAGAATTAGGTGGAATTTGCCAACTTTTTGCCATTCATGAAAGCCTTCACCAAAAGGCAATAAAATCATCTAGTTCTTTGTGTTATTCACATCTGATTTTAATAATCTGATTTGGGATTTTAGATATCTCCACTTACAGAATATTTATTCATTCAACAATCATTATTATAAACTAAAAAAAAAAAAAATTCCACATTTCTGGCGCTCCTTGACAAATCAGAAGTTTGTGCCGCACGAGGTGTGGAATTTTGGGGACGGCAGGTCCTCACTGACTCTCAGGGCCTGCTGTCTTACACAGACCCTGCTCTTCACGGGTAAGCCCTTTACGGTGCGTTAGAATTTAAGGCTGTCCTTGCTCATACAGCTTTCGTAACTTGCCCAGCATCCTGTCACGAGGGTATGAACCATTGGGATAGGTACCTGGTTCTTCTTTATAGTTTGTGTCCCTGGATTTTGTTTGTCTACTGAATGTTTTCAATTGTATGTCTACTGAAAATGTTCCAATTTTAAGTATGTCAGATACTTACTGTGACTTCAAAATAGTAAAACATTTTGAGAAGTTGCCTCTAAGATGAGCGGGGCCCTCCTCAGTGTGACCGGTGAAAGCTCTTGCCTCCTCGCCGGTGGCTCTGGTCCAGGCCGGGCAAGCTGGGCTTCCCAGTTCCCCGCACCCCAGCAGCTTTGCCTTGATGCATTGCTCAGATGCCCTCACTGCCAACCCAAGAACCAAATAAGACGACAACAAAGACTTAGGTTTCCTTTTGTAGAAAGAGAAGCTCAGGCTAATGCATCGGTAAGGCCCCTGGGCACACTTAGATCCGGCGGTCGGCCGTCAGACACAAATTCAGCCGCTGACAGTCTTACTTTCAGTCAGGAGTGTTGCCAGGTCAGCTACAGTAGTCAAAACCTGCACAAGCCTGAGACCCTTCCCCTAGTGCCTGCCTCCCCTCTGTGGCGGTTGAAAATAGCCCTTTGCTTTGCACTGGCGTTGGTAGACTCTTATGTTCTTTCTTTCTGGGCATCCTGAATTAAAGTTACTTGCATTTCTTAAATTGACCAGAATTATTGTAAAGGCATAGTTGGTAAAGATTAACACTTTATAGAGGGAAACTTGTAGGAAAGAGACTTGTCCTAGCAACTGAGTGCGAATGACCACATGTCTTTTTCTCTCTCCTATGCAAAGTCCCAGAACTCCATCTTGACTATGTAGAGAACGTGAAGGTGTAATTATATTGTAAGTTTATAGCTATATTGTCCTCCATGGAAGCCATCTCAAAATGCAAATCTGAGAGGCATATTTCAAAAAAAAAATTACGTTCTTTTCTTTTCTTTCTTCATTTCTTTCTTTCAGAATAGAAGAAGTCAAAGTTAGGTGGAAATAAATGTAAACAGACCATATGGTACATCAGGTTTCCAGTTCCACTCTTTAGAAGGGCCAAAATTTGCATCAGATATGAGGAAAGAAATGTTAGTGTAAGACTGTCTCCACAGATGGCCTTAAAATATTGCTTCACATAAAAGCAATATACAGCTCTGAGTTCTACAGAAGCTAAATCTTCATTTCTGTCATTTATTCCTTTGAGTTTAAGAGCTAAGTCTGATGAAGTCATTATAGTGATTCATTTCTGGGATTTCCATCATGCATGGCGTTAGCTGCCCATTCGCCCCCTTCACTGTGCGCCGTAGGAGTGTGGCAGGTGGAAATTCACAAGCCCATCTTCTGTCAACAGGAACAACTTTTTAATTTCCTAGGAACCTCGAGATCTTGGAGATTTAGGGGAAGTCGGTGTGAAGGTGGGTGGCTCCTGACTGTAAGCTAGGGTGAGTGCTCGTGGCAAAGACTCCGTTGAGTGTCCTGGGGCAGGCGGGTCCCTCCTTCTGGAAGGTTTGGGCTTCACAGAGAGGGGCTGCAGAAGCAGGAAACGCAGCTCCATGAGAGAAGGCTCCGAGGCTTACTGAAGAACCCAGCACGCCAGCGGGCAATGTGGGTTAGTAGAGGACAACTTGGGACTCTCAGAAATTAAGATTCTCCTCACCGTTACCTAAGTAGATAAGAACAAATGAAATGATTCAGCCTCATGAAACAACACATGTTTAGCAAATAAATAAAACCCAGTCGAGACCCACATTTGGCTTTTCCCTTTTTGAATTCACAATCTTCTTCTTCTTCCCACGCTTCGAGGGGCACTCGATGACCTTCTCTATTTTGTCTTCACTCGTTGCTTACTACAGTTACTTCCACTCGGTCTCTCCCCTCCTTTCTCATAGGTTTTGACCTAGTAAAGTGTGAGGATCCAGGAGTCCCTAACTATGGCTATAGGATCCGAGACGAAGGCCACTTTACTGACACTGTGGTTCTGTACAGCTGTAACCCGGGCTACGCCATGCACGGCAGCGACACGCTGACCTGCCTCAGCGGGGACCGCAGAGTGTGGGACAAGCCGCTGCCTTCCTGTGTCGGTGAGTTGGGCGGCCGGCTTGCAATAGGACACAAACGCACACCTAAGGGCAGGAGCTCTGGGTGCTTTGGAAGAGAGCAGGATGCTTCTGTGCCCTCTTCAGTTCAGGATCTTTCTTCCAAGATGTGCATGTGGTTTTTTTGTTTTGTTTTGTTTTGTTTTTTTGGCTAGGTGAATAATGTGGATGTGAGGGTTTGGGGTTTAGATTTTAAAAACAGCTAAAGTGAAGCCTGTGGGGCCTGGAGTAAGTCTTCTCAAGAGTCTGTATCTCTTACAGCCGAGTGTGGTGGCCAGATCCACGCGGCCACCTCCGGGCGGATCCTGTCTCCTGGCTACCCGGCCCCGTATGACAACAACCTCCACTGCACCTGGATCATAGAGGCAGACCCAGGGAAGACCATCAGGTACCTGTGCTATTTTTGGTTTTGAGGACTTTAGAACATGGGACTGTCTTCTATATTTTGTAGTGGAGGTCATAGCACGTCTATTATCCATGATGGGTTTCACATCTGAGTCCAAGAAAAACATGCAATGATGTGCAGAAATGTTTTATTAGCTCATATATTTCCTTTGGAATTCCTCTGAGAACTGCTATTAAGCCGTCTATAAAAAAGAGAAAAATAAATTAAATGTATCAGTTAGCTTTTGCTGCATAGCGAACCAGCCCCCACAGCGTAGTGGCAGAAAGCAGTTCTTTTTCTGCCATGACTGTGTGTACAGCCTGTGCAGGGCTGGCCGGGGCAGGCTTGTCAGGGTGAGGGTCCAGGACAGCCTCACTCGGGTGTGCAGACCTCTGCTGGACGGTCAGGAATGCTGGGGCGTCTTCAGACCAGGCTTCTGTTCCTTTAGCAAACTATTCATGGTGGAAGGTTTTTGGCAGCGAAAGATGACAGAATTTTCAAGCTCGGGCTTGCATTTATTTGCTAATGTGCCATTTTCCAGAAACGAAACAAACACCAAAAACAAACAAACAAACAAACAAACAAACCTCATCAGCAAGCAAGATAAGGTTTGAAGACATATACTCCATCCCCTACTGGAAAGAAAACCAAACACACCAGAAAGGGGCATGCATACAGGGATGGAGGATAGATGGCCATTTGTAATACACCAAAGGAAGTTTGAGGTAGACCAAGAAAGCATTTCAATCTAAAGTTGCACGTGTAAAGGAAAATCATTTAAAAAGCACAGGAAATTGTGCAAACATTTCTAAAGAAAGTGTTGTATTTCAATGGATGGTTCTCAGTTACTCCAGTAAATTTTTTATACCAATAAATAAACCAGCAAAAAGTAATCTTTTTAAGTAATTTTCCATGTTCTAGTCAGAAGGCTGTGTCAAAAACCACAGCACATAAATCAAAGAGTGATTTCAAATTAAGTTGTTTCTTGATTATAGTTCTTGATGAACTAGAAGAGGGCATGCAGTCCTTTGCGGTGCCTTGTCAAATCGTTTTTCTATCTTCATTAATTTTTCCCTTTTGTTGTAGTTGCTCTGAAATATCTGTACAAAATTTATTGTTTAAAAATTCTGTCTCAACCCCAACAGTGCTGATCCCCAGGTCCCTGATACTTTCTCTCCACGTGTCATTATGCCCGTGAGAGACAAAATGGTCAATTTGTCCTCAAATACATGAAGTGGAAGCTAGTGGGAGGTCAAACCCAGCAATCTCTTTCTGGGGCAAATGAATGGATAGACATATTGACAAACTACTGAATTTTTGTCCTTATTCACAAAAGTCACGCTAGCAACCTTAGCAATGTATGTAAAACAGACATAGACCCACCACACTGCGACTTTGTAACTTAGTTCAGTGAAATGGAAAGAAAGCCAAGGGGAGATGCGTATTGTGTCCCAGGACACTCTGTCCCCTTCATGTGACATTGGTCCTCTGACATTCACCTGCTGTCTTTCATGTCATGACATGAACATCTCGCAGTCTAAGCTAACATGGCATGGGCTATTCCCACTTACATACCTGAAGAAAAATGATTCTTATTAGTTAAGAGGAATAAGAGAAGCAACCCAAGTCATGTATATAATACAACGTCTTATTTTATAATAACTAATTTAAAAATAAATTTGTATCCTTGGGGTGCCTGGGTAGCTCAGTCTTTTGAGCATCTAAGTGTTGATTTTAGCTAAGGTCTTGGCGCCTGTGCTCAGCATGGAGTCTGCTTATCCCCCTCTCCCCCAGCCTGAGCCCTTGCACTCTCTCTCTCTCTCACTAAAGTAAATAAATAAATAAATTCCTTTTTAAAAATAGATAAATAAATTTGTAGTCTTAATTAAGATAAATGATTAATTAGGTAATTATTGATCTATTGGGACAAAAATAAGGTATGTTTGAGTAACAATTTAAAATTCTGTATTCTTTATGGAAATCAATGCAGTTATTTTTCCATTGAACTAAATAAAACTAAAGATTAGTTTTTAACCTTGAATTCCTGAATGCTTGACCTGAGTATTATAAAACCTGCTACACTAGTTTTTATTTTAAAAAATTCCAGGAATTCTTTGGATTGACAAATTAACTTTACATAAACAGAATATATTTTCTTTTTGGAGGATTTCAAATTTCTGTATCTTTTTACAAGTTCTGTTGTGTCTCGTTTCCTGAGAAATAAAGTGAGCATTATTCTCCTAAATGCAACCCAAGTAAAGAGTTCATTCTTTGCAGGTGAATCTAATACTTCATTAACATTTTAATAAGAAAAGAGAAAAGAATGTAATAAAGAATGACTTGAAGTAATAAAAAATGTACACCTTTTACATCACGAACTGGGTTTGAAGTCCAACCATTAGTATTCTAGGGGGAAGAAAAAGACCTTGGATACTCAGTCTGTTCTGGGAATGTCTTAGGTCTTTTCCCTCTCTTTCTCATATGATAATTAGTCTTGCCAAGTTTGTAAACAGATCTTTCTGATTTAAGCCATAAAGCCCTTCCTAAATAGGGAATGAAGAAGGAAGCATCAGTATTTGTAGTTAATTTACTCAACTTTGTCTTGAAATGTTTCTGGTAATTGCTCTTCATTAATAAAATATGTATTATTGTTAGTGTGGTACTTAAAAAAAAAACTTAGAAGTACATGAGGTACAATCGTAGGCTTAACATAGTACTAATAATACTCAGAAAAATAGGGTCTGGTCTTAGCTTTGATATTGGTTGGCTCGTTACGAAGTCTTAGTTTTTCCACTGGTAACATAGCCAATATTAACTACACCATTTACTTGATAATGAAGAAAACATCAGTTATAGAAACATGAGCCCAGGGATTAATTTAAGTATTAAAAAATTCTTAATATAAATGGAATTCATTATTATGCATTCAGACTATGATTTCTTCAATGTAAGTGTTTTTCACTCTCAAAGAACGAATAAGCAGCAGGACCCCAGAAATTATAAAAGGGATGGTTTCTACACACCTCGGGGCCAATTCTTACTGGGCCTATTCTGATTCCACTGAAGCCCAGAGCAATTTCTGATTGCATATTGCTATAACTTTTTGTTCAAGGTAATAGAAGAACCCTAAATAGTTGTTGTTATAGGGCACTTGGGTCTGGGAGAGGTTTGTAATTTTAACATATATTCGATAAAGCAGTTACCTGAGCCAAATTTAATTAAAAGTCTAATCACAAGACATTGTAGTAAATTTAGCCACATTTAGTGTTATATGTAAACATTTCTCTAAGAGACTTCCTGTATTTCATTGCGGAGCACAGCTATAATTTATATAATAAAGGTAACAGCGCTATAAATGTCCTCAGCAAGCAACAGCGGAGGCCACATTTTACATAATCACGTGTACACTGTTTCTTGGTTTTAATTGGTTTTCTGCAAGTGTAATTGTCTGGAAAACTCACTTTGAAAGTCTTTCTGTTCCTTATCATTCACAGGAAATTGCATTTGGAGGTATAGTTGAGGGGAATTCTTTTAGAAAAGCTCATGCACTATTAGAAACATCAGAGGTACATCAAAATTTTACCAAGATTGTCACAACTGTCCCTGTGCAGACTTTTACAGAAAGTGAAATGAGGGACGGTGGTCCTCATCTTACCCTGGTGTGACTTAGAGTTGTTTCCTGGTTGTGTTGGGCTGTGGAAAGAGTACAGTGAGATCTAGCTTTGAAATCTAGGGATATTTTAATTTATTTTTGACCAGACTTTAAGCTCCCCATGAGAAATAGAGTCCAGAGGAAAATGGCAAGCCAATAGCCTCTATTTATTAGACATTTATGTCCAATCTCAGTGTTAAGCCTTGCTTAGCAAACAGGCTAGAAACCCAAGTTGGAAGCTTTTGATGATAGCAGTTAAGCATATGAGGCTAGAAACAAAATGTCTGAAATTTCTCCTTTCTTATTTAGAACACCACAAGTTATACCTAACTTTTGGAGATAATGTGAGGAAATTACCAGCCAAGAGAATTTCATCCAGCAAAAGGAAAGAGACTGGTCACACTGCCAAGACTCCCATGTCTTGGGCTGGCTTCCAGTCCTTAGTGTGGGGCCATGGGGACAGCCATTGTGTTAGTGCACCTCCCCAGCCACTCAGGAGACAGAAAGTTAGAGGCAGGAGAGCTGCAGGCACTCCTCCCTTTGCAGGATCCTGACACACCCAATTTCAGGTGTGATTATTTAATTAACACCATTTAATGATTAATTAAATAATTAATTGATTATTTAATTAACTTTAACAACACAATTGAAATTCCAGTAGAAATGTTTGGACTGACTGGAAGAATTGCATAAAGGACAGACTTCTCTTTTTGCTCTTCTGTTCCCATATCACTACACAAATCACAGAGGCACATCACGATCACTGGCTGACCAGGTCTTCTGTCAAAGTCCCTGGGTAGTCGGGCACTGAGCCTCTGCACTTCAGGTCATGCACAGACAGCAAAGCATGTTGTGTTGCAACCCCGTCTCGTGTGAGAAACCCACCTGACATTTCACATCAATAGATCATGAATAAGGGCATTGGCCAAAAAAAGAAGAAGGAATGGGAAAAAAAAAAAGAAAAGAAAAGAAAAGTGGTCACACTTCAAATTCGAGTTGAACGCAGATGGAATTTTGGAGGAGTTGGCAGTGGAAACATTGGTTTTCCCACTGCTTCAGAAATGAGGAGCTCCCCACCAATAGACTCTAGACACCTCAACATCTGCCTTTACTACTGTCATTCCCGCTGTTACGATTCCTGCTTCTATATTCCCTATTTCTCTTAACATCCACCTTCCTCCCGCTGGCTGGGGATTCTAATTTTCAATATGATCTTCTACTCTTCCTTATTTCTCCTTCCTTGGTCTCAATATTTCCCCAAATAGAAAATCCAAGATGTCAGTAGATGTCTCACAGCATTCTTCTGGTAATTACATTAAATGTCTTCATAATAAGCACTGAGAAAAAATAG